GGGGGTGCAGTGAGATAATGTGTATATGGGGGTGCAGTGGGTGTATGGGGGTGCAGTGGGGGCAGTGTGTGTATGGGGGTGTATGGAGGTGCAGTCATCATCACGGCCACTGCACTATAGATCCCAGGTGAAGTACATGTTCTTAATCCTATGCACCTGTTCCTGATCCATGACCACTCATGATAAGATTTCACTATCACAGATCAATAGCTCTCTCTGTGTCATACTCCCTTTAAAAGACCCATTTTGACCTCCTTTGAGATTATCTCTGGAGAAAAAAAACAAATACCAAAGCTCAGTATATAATATATCTTAATCCAATTACTTTGATAATTTCTATTGCGTCATACCAATAAATGTATCATTGTTTATAAAAAAAAATATGTTATCACCTGACTGCTCACATGCATCATATTTATCAAATTATCACTCTTTGTAAAAAAAAAACAAAATATTACCCTGTGGCTGTAAAAGAAGAAAAACCCATGACTGCGTTGATGGCATCTTGGACACATAAAGAACAGATGATAAAGGTGGATGAAATAAGAGTAATTAGTGAACTGATTCATGTTTCTATTATAACCAGCAATGATTTTTCAAGTGATATATGCCCTTTTTAGTCCTATGGGACCTCTTAGAGTTCAGTTGGCTAACTCAGTTTCTATTTACTGATTGAAATTACAGGCCACAATCCATAATTTCAATAATTTCATAATTTCTTCTCCTAGCCTAGGGCATAGGTCACTGTTTCACTTAGGTGTCTTCCTGGGTTACCTGATAAGCTAAGCATTTTTTTTCAGTACCTACCCTATGACTCAGAACTTAGCATGTTTTCTGTACCTACCCTTTAACAACTACTGTCCATGACACCGTGGGCCAGTCCGGCCCTGCCAGTATATAATAGTCCCTTTTAGTGTCCTTAAATTCTATGCTGTATGATACATCAGCCATGCAGCATTATGCATGCATTGTTAGGTGCTTGCAATGTCTGTTGTTCACTTATTTGTACTCTGAATACCCTAATAAAATATTTAAAGCTAAAAAGGGCACTTGCTGTTTCAGTTTCATTCCTCTCTCTATGTTCTAGAGATATTGCTCAGTTTCAGTTGATGAGCTGCTTCTGACTCAGCAGAAAGGCATGCAGTCTAACTCATTTTGCTGCTATGGAGACACTAATTATAGCAGCTAAATCATAACACCTTACATCCACTGTCACAGAAATCTCAACTTCTAACATATTTCTAGTTTCTTAAAGTAACACTATAGGATTTAAAAAACAAATATGTATTCCTAATGCTAGAGTTACTTGCCTTCACCTTTCTGATGATCTCAGCCAATCCAATGTTTTCCCAAAGTTCCCATGTGCATCAAAACACCACTATGCACCAATCAGATGGTTACCTGAGACTATCTGAATAAAATAGCAGAGTACAGAAGCATTCAATCAATGTAATGGACTGTTTAAATAATGTTTGAATAATCCCATTTCTGGAAAAGCAACTCTTGAAAACAAAACAAAGATTAGAAAAAATTGCCAGGAAAATAAAAATCGCGACATACACGAAAAATAAATCTGTTTGAGCCCATGAGTAGTGATGTCCCGAACGGTTTGCTGAACGGTTCGCGAACGGTTCGCCACGAACGGTTCGCCACGAACGGTTCGCCGTGGACTCATCATTGAGTAAACTTTGACCCTGTACCTCACAGTCAGCAGACACATTCCAGCCAATCAGCAGCAGACCCTCCCTCCCAGACCTCCCACCTCCTGGACAGCATCCATTGTGAAGCTGCATTCTTAGTGAGCTGTCCAGGAGGAGGGAGGGTCTGGGAGGGAGGGTCTGCTGCTGATTGGCTGGAATGTGTCTGCTGACTGTGAGGTACAGGGTCAAAGTTTACTCAATGATGAGTCCGCGGCGAATCGTTCATGAACCGTTCGGCGAACCGTTTGGGACATCACTACCCATGAGGCTTTGTGCTGAATGAAGATTCAAAACAGGAAAAGCCTTTATGAAGGCTTTACCGCAGTTTGAATTCTCATTAGAGTGCTCTACAGGCAGGGCCGGCGCGTCCATAAGGCGGCACAGGCGGCCGCCTTAGGGTGCACCGGCTCTGGGGGCGCAAAATTCCAGTGACCGGCAGGAGGGAAGTGCTCCCTCCTGCCAGGTCACCTTCTGTATCCCCGGTGCGGCGTGTGACTGAATTGGATTCCGAGGAGGCGAGGGAGCTCTGATCTCTCTGATCTGCTCCCTCGCAGGCTGTTTACTGATGCCGCGGGAGCCGGAATATGAAGTCATCAGTAAACAGCCGGCGAGAGATCAGAGCTCCCTCGCCGCCTCGGAATCCAATTCAGCCGCAGGCCTCCCAGCAGCCCCACTGGACCACCAATGAGAGACCCACACCAGCTCTCCAGGTAGGGAGGCTGGGTGGGAAATTTTTATTTAATTTAGATTATTAATTACTGTGAGTGTGTGTGTGTGTGAGTATGTGTGTGTGTGTGAGTTTGTGTGTGTGTGTGTGTGTGTGTGCAAGTGAGTATGTGTGTCTGTCAGTGTGTGAGTGAGTGAATGTGTCTGTCAGTGTGTGTGTGTGTGTGCATGTGAGTATGTGTGTCTTTCAGTGTGTGTGTGAGTATGTGAGTTTGTGTGTGTGTGTGTGTGTGTGTGGTTCTGTCAGTGTGTGTGTGTGAGTGTGTCTGTCAGTGTGTGTGTGAGTATGTGTGTCTGTCAGTGTGTGTGTGTGAGTGAGTGTGTCTGTCAGTATGTGCGTGTGTGCATGTGAGTATGTGTGTCTGTCAGTGTCTGTGAGTTTGTGTGTGTGTCTCAGTGTGTGTTTGTCAATGAGTCTGTCAATGTTTGTGTGTCTGTCAGTGTGCGTGTGAGTGTCTGTCAATGAATGAGTGTGTCAGATAAGTGAGTCTGGCTGTCAGAGATGTTTGTGTGTTTGTCATTGAGTGTGTGTGACTTTCACAGTAGCGTGGCCAAGCGGAGTGTACATGGCAGGACTGACAGGAAAAGCTCACTGTACCAGGATTCGCTCCACTCAGCCACGCTACAAGAAAGGTAGGAGGCACACCAGGAAGGGGAGGGGACCACTATGGGGGTGGGTGGCACACCAATGAACAGGGAGAGGAGGGGAGAGATACCCTAAGGTACAGGAAAAGGAGGGAGGGGGGGAGAGGAACACTAAGCGACAGGGAACAGAGGGGGGAGGGTAAAGGAACACTAAGGGACAGGGAAAGGAGGGGGAAGGGAAAGGAACACTGAGGAACAGGGAAAGGAGGAGAGAGGGGAGAGGAACAGGGGCTGGATGTGAAAGAAACACACAGCGGGACTTGAGAAGGAAAGAGACATACACAAAGGAGCTGGGAAGAATAAAAGACACAAAGGGGCTGGGAGAAAAGGAGTCACACAAAGGGGCTGGGAGGAGTAAGACACAACATGTGGGAGGATGTAAGAGTCATACAAAGAGGAGAGATAGGAGACACACAAAGGTAAAAATAGGAGATAAAATACACTAAAGGGAGTCAGATATTTAAAAGACGGGATAAGAAACACAAAAGGGAGGTTAAGAGGCACATGGGTGAAGATGTTTTGGGGGGGGGGCGGAAAATGCATCTTCGTCTATGTACCCAAAATTCTTTGCACCGGCCCTGTCTACAGGTAAGTTATGCTTCTCTCGAGACTTGCTGTGGGAAAATTATTGCAGCAAATATAGAGAGAAGTGAGATCTGTCAGAGCACTCAAACAAATTGAGGGGGGTTGGTCAATGTAATATTTACCCCCTCACTGCATTATTACTTAGAGTCCCCACCTGCTGCCCATCGGTGAGAGTTTGGAGGAAGGGCATTAGGTCCACTGCAATATATGGTTAATAGAGCCCTATTTCTACTCACCAGGGCTATATTTTCACTCACCAATGTCTAGTGGAAATGTTGAGTCCTGCTCTACCTGGTCTGTTAACTCCTCTCATTGGAGGGGGCTTGCATGTGGCGTTTGCATGTGGCTTTCACTATTATTTGTGCTTCTTTGGCCGCTCACTGCATGCCTCATAAAGGCTAAAGTTTCACTAATAGACCAGAATAACATGCAGAGCCAGATTCTCTGTTGTTGTTGTGCTCAGACATGCTACAATATCAGTAATTGGTTGTAAGAGACACACATGAGTAAGGAGAGTTAGGATAAATAAATTTGCGGGTAAAGGTTTAAGAGACCTAAGGGGGCAAATGGATTAATAGACACACAAGGTGGTAAAAGGGTAAGGAGACATACAAGGAGGTAAGTAGGTTAAGGAGAGACACACAGGATGTGGATGAAATAGACCATGTAGGATATGTTGAGTTAGGGGATAAAAAAGATTTAGGGTGTGGTAATGGTGATCTGATGGGACACTCAATAGGGCGAGTGGTGCAGAGAGAAGCAAGGCTAGCTCATTGGCTGAATTTGTCAGCAAACACCGTCAACCAATGTGCTAAGCTGTGTACTGCTGGGGTTAACTTACCGCTCTCCAGTGGGATGTAGTGGGACAGGGAGCGGTTCCTGATAGACTGCTAAACCTATGTGACTACTTACATTACAATGGGCTGTAGTGGTTCTAGTGCTTGGAAAGTTTCTTTAATGTTGACCGAATAAACATGGAAAAATATAGTCTAGCCAAAACAGGGCATTATAAACAGAATGCTGGTCAGATGATTACCTGAAAGAACACAATTTATCTCTCTCCATTCCGTAATAAAACGCCCAGAACTTCATATAACGGTGTAAGCCTGAACTGTATAATGATAAATCAGGTGTAATCTCAAGTCAGTTGGCTTTATGCAATGTCTGGACGTTTCTACACCACAAGTAAATGTTAACACAAACAACAAACTCCTCTAGAAATGAAACTCTGGATACAGACATGTTTCAGTTTCTATTCCTTGTGAGCTGTTTGGGATTTTCTTGGCTGCTTGCCAGCCCGTTCTGTATATAAATAGATGAGCATATTTGTAGCAACATAGAGTG